TATATATATATATAATTTGTATAGAGAGATAGAAGTTGAATCAATAATCAATTTAATTCACGATGTTAAACTCATTTGTCATCAATTATATACGTTGAATTACAATGAGATAAAAAAAAAAGATTATGAACATAACAAAATAAAAATAATTTGGAACAAAGGTTTATAACATGTTTGAATTTAAAAATCTAGAAATTCAAGAGAAAAAATAAAGCCCTTAGACACAATAACTTTTAAAATGGGATCCTTTTTTTTTTGAATTTTCAGATAATAAAATGCCACGATTCTAAGAATGTCCAATTTTATTTTGTAATATATGAAAATCCAAAAGATTTAATCGTACATTATTTTTAATTAATAAATAATATAATGAAATAAAGAAAGACAAGTGGATGATAAAAAGACATAAGGGATTTGATGAATGCTTTTCTTTTTCTTCGCTTGCTTCCTTAGGGCACCTAATAGTATTTAGTAATATCATCAAATCAATAATCTCGCATCGTTATATTATTTTTTATTATTATCTTATACTATTATTATTATTATTATTATTATTATTATTATTATTATTATTCAATTTCTTAGTTTGGAAATGATCGTTTTTTATAAGAATTTATTTTTTTTAGTTGAATTACATGTTTATTTGAGTCACGGAACTACATTGCTTACAAAGTGGGTTGCATGTCACCATGTGAACGAGAAAGATAAAATTCTCCATTGTTGTTTTCGCATGTACATATACATACATACATACGTATGTATGTATGTATGTATGTATGTATGTATGTATGTATGAAACTGTATATAGTTTTAAATACGCAAATTAAATCTCCAAAAAGACCTAGATGACATGATGATAATAAGGGCGATGATATATATATATGATGCTTTTATGAGTACGTAAATGTATTATTTAATTAGGGTTTTATTTTTATATTTTGCTTCTTGCATAGGGATTTGTATGTCTTTATGAGCTCATCCACGTTTTTTTTTATCCAAACGCTTACACTTAGTTGGGATATTGCTTCAAATGTGTATGACTTTTATATATATATATATATATATATATCATTATCTATTAAAAAAATCATTATATATATATATAGGAATAAAATGGTTAGAAAGGAACCAAACATGGGAGAGGCCAAAACCCGTGATTCAATGATGACGGTCCATATGCACACATGGCATGGACGCCATCAAACCTTTCTTTCTTCGTCTTATGCGCTGTCTTTTTTATTCCATCTTCTCGATTTCTATTAATTATTTTTTTATCTCTATTTAACTATTTTTTATATTTTATTTTTAAAATAAAAGGTGGACAAATTTTCAGTGACGAATTTTGACTTCGGAATTTTCTTTAGAAAAAAAAATAACTAGTGATGTTTCTAAGATAATAAGATAAATACAAATTATATATATATATATATATATGATTTTAGCCCTATATCCACATATTTTTTTAATGGGCCTTCATAACAAATGGGCCTTACCATTAGATTATTGATTGGTAACACTAACACAATCTTGGTTCTAAATTATAACACAGTTTTATTGCATCACTGTATATATTAATTATACATTAGTCAAACAAACAACACGACAAAGGAAGATAAATAAAAACAGAAAAGGATATAAATGATTTTGATTTATGTGTTTATATATATATATATATATATATGTATATATATTATAGGAACATTCTCAAGTAATCATCCATGCGCGTGTACTTCACGTCCGGATAAAGCTTAGAAGCCTCTTGGTCGTCTCCGACTTCATAATTTGCAAGACAACCTTCGTAGAATATGTGATAGAAATGCCCTATCCCCGCTTGTTGTGCTTTGTCCGAATCTACAAAATAATAACATTCAACCAATATATATATATATACACACACACATATATGTATATTTGATTTGTATATATATGCTTACGTTTCATGCCGGCAAGAAAATCATCGGCAGGAATATGTGTTTTCTCTAGTTCCTTTCCGGTTAGCTTCTCCCAAATCCGAACCAATTCGATTTGCGTGAGGACATTGTCCGGAGGTCTAACACAAACGGTCTTGTTTTCGGTCCGAGGATCGTTTATCGTTTTAGCCGTGTACGTTGCGATATCGTCTTCATCCGCAACCACAACTGCAATCAATGGGATCGTTAGCAAAAAAGTTTATTGTAATTAAAATTAATCTATTAGGGCTTGAAACTTTGGGTTATTATGTATTATATAACTAGAGGTCATCATTTTGTATTTCGGTTTTGATTATATTCGGGTTTCCATTACTTCGGTTTTAGATAAATTATAATTATTTTGTTTATTGTGAATTTCGTTTCGATTTCGGGTTTTATCGATAAAAAATATTTATTTTCTTAAGAAAAATAATGTTTTGATTCTTAAATATTCGGTGTAGATTTGGTTTTAGAGATATCATAACTATTCAACATTTATATTGAATTCGGTTCTGATTCGATTTTCGGATTTATAGATTTCATAATCATTTCTATTGAATCCAGTTCGGTTACGATTATGTATTATTCAGATGAGATCGGATCGATTATCCATTTATTAAACATTAGTCACATCTAATCGTAAACGAGGGAGTAAAAAGATGAAGACGATGATGATATTAGGGTTTTCACCTTTTACATTTCCGTCGCCGTAGATATTGACTTTCTCCTTCGGAGGGATTAGGGTTTCCATTTGGGAGAGGTTTCCGGCGAAATATGCGGCGAAGCAAGCTCCGAGCACGTACGTGTGGGGGATTCCGGCGGCCTCTATCGCTCTTCTCACTTCCATTTTCTCGTCAAATGTTTCTCTTCCCGGCCAGAGTGCATTCCCCATCCGGGATGGATCCATCCCGAATTCCGACGGTAAAAATCGCTGAAATTTTGATGGATATTCAATTAACAATATATTGAGTTAATTAGGCAATATTAAAAAGATTTTTATGAGAATTATATTTATAGAGTAGTTAAAACACTAATTGCTTTCATTACCATACACAACAAATAAACATAATAGAGTATACTAGTAATGCAATAGTTTATGCGGACAGATCCAACAGGATATGCAACATATAATAAAAAATATCAATGAATATTACATTATATATATAGATATATATAACAAATAAAAGCAAAAATACGTAGAATGAAGATAAATATGAATTTTGAAAAACTAATAAGTTAATTGCATTATTATATACAACAAATAAACATACTAGTATACCGCAGTAGTTTATGATGGCATATCCTACATTATATGCAATATATATATATATATACACACACATAAAAAATACCAATGAACATATAACATAAATACAGGAGAAAGTATATAATAAAATAAATTTGCCCACTAGAATATTTGACTTCTGAAAGTGAGGGTAAGCCAATGGTGTCATGGGGCGGACCCATGTTATATGGGGGGTGGGGGTCATAGGCCCGTCTAATTAATTTTAAAAATATTATTAATTTTAAAAATATTATAAAAAATTATAAACAAGATTGTCAGATGACCCATTGAAACAAAATTTGTCTGTATAAAATTATATTAACACAATTATTACCACCTTGTAGGTTTTTTTTGGAATATTTCAAAATAATTAAAATAAAACCTAAATTTGTAAACCTCAATTTCATTTTTTCAATCAAAAATAAATTCGAACTTTATAATTTTTGTCATTTTTAACTCTATGGTTGACGTGAGTTTCGACATTCTACGTGGCAAATCAACATTTGAACTGTATTTGACACATCATCGTCCACATGTCACGACATGGAAACACCACGTTGCCGGCGTTTTGACTTGTGTGTATGTATGTATGTACCTTAACGTTGCCGGCGTCTTTGATGGCTTGGACGAGCTTGAGCTGGAGGAGGATGCAGTGGGAGCGGAAGTGGACGCCGGACATGGCGGAGATGACAACGTCGGCGAGTTTCACGGCGGAGACAAGACTCTGGTGGTCGGAAAACGAAGCTTCAACGAGTTTGGCGCCAAGTTTCTTGAAAGAGAAGAGGAGATGCACTTTCTCTACGTCCAGTCCGATCTCCGGACGCTGCAAAACGTAAGTCTCGTGCCCTTCCGCCAAACACGCCCTCACTATCCTCTTCCCTATGTATCCTGTCCCTCCCACCACCAAAACGCGCGTTTTCTCGCCGCTAACGCAAACGCTCCTCTCCTTCTCCTCGTTAACGTCTCCCATCTCTCTCTCTCTCTCTCTCTCTCTCCCTCTCTCTCTCTCTCTCTCTCTCTCTCTCTCTCTCTCTCTCTCTCTCTCTCTCTCTCTCTTCTTTGTTTGATTCGGTGAAGCGTGCCTTTGGACACATATTTATACCACGCAAAAGGTGTATATGCGCGTATATATGTGTGTATATGTTTGGTAGAAAGTGGAAAACGTATATAATTTATATGGTGATGAATATAATATTAACTTAGTTGGCTTTAAAGTAATCCAAGAGTACCATATCTATAAGATAATATATTAATATACGTATACACATATATACACACGCAAACACTAGATATAATATTTTATTATTCGGAAAAACAATCTCTAATTAACACTTGCAATAAAAATTTATGTTTTTATTTTGAGAAATATTTTTTTGCGTTATCTGTGTACAAATGAATAAACCCTATTTTTTTTTTTTTGATATTGAATAAACCCTAATTTTGATAATTGCGATACGTTCTCTATATATTAACTAATGAAATATTGCCAACAATATCCACAAATTGTGATTATACAATTCTGAAATCACCGTTTGTTTGGATATATACATATATCCTTTTATGAATTGATGTATTTAATTGCAGCCGCGCGTCTATTAATTATATGAAAAAATAATTAATGTGTGTCATTTTAATATCACCAAATCCATGTTAATCAGTGATGCAAACATGATTACATCGCCCTTTTTATCATTGACTTATGTATACATTATATATACCACGTCATAGATATATATGTATGTATATATATAAATATGTAGAGACAGAGATTTCTTAATAAATACTAAAAGCATATCATAGGATTAGGATATCTTTGGGTATTCGATCCACCAAATAGGGGAAATAAATTAAAAAATTAATGGATCATAATAAATACAATAATGTTATAAACGTTGAATTATCTAAGAGTAGATTCCTTGATTAATTACGGAATTAGTTTTCATCAATTGTAAGATTTATTTTTGGGTAGAATTTCGATGTTATAATATGTTGGACTGTCTCTGTTGACTATGTTTACCCACGCGTTTTACCATCTCGGAAGTCATTAACGTGGCCGTTTTCGTTACTACAAAAATGTCACTATGTTACCTGTGTCAATTTGGGTCCGAAGCCCGAAGTCCGGTCCGGTCTAGCCCGAAAAATAGCGGGTTTCGGACCGAAGTTTTTTTGTCCGAAAAAAATCGGATTTTTGGACCGGATTCAAATCGGGTTTCGGACTCGAATTGGGTCGGTCCGAAAACCCGAAAATTTAAAAAAAGAAAAAAAGAAAAAAAACATTTACAAAGAGAGGTCTGCGGACCAGCCCGATCCGAGTCCGGAATGCATAGGATCGGGTTTCAGACTTAATTATATAGGCCCGAAAAAATCGGACCGGCCCGAGTTCAAAACCGAAACTTTCGGGCCGAGTACAAGCTCGGACCGGACCGGTCCGATTGACACCCCTACCTAACAGTGAGACCGAATATGATATATATTTCTATTTTGGTGTGCGTAAGTATGTAACATAAATCACAAAAAACTATAACATAAATAGAACCTTCTTTTAGAGTATGCATATATATATGTATATATATGTAGCAGTTGAATGTAATTTCAAATAGATAATTAAAAAGGGTCATTTGAAAAGAAAAAAAAATAAAAGAAAAGGTCGACCAAACAATTTTTGGAAACGGTCAAAAGAAATGCTTTCAATGCATTGAAATATATTGACAATTTTTATTTAAAGGCCCAAATTTTTCTTACATTCTAGAGAAATATAGGGTTTGGTGAAGCAATGTGATTGGTTGAATTTAGGTGTCTGGCTGTTCGTGGTTTACAAAAATCTCGTGTAATAACAAATTAAATAATTAATCTATGATAATAAGAGTTATTTAATATATTTTTGTTTTTGTTTTTCAGCGTTAGAAAAATATCGTTCTATTATCTGTAGATGTCAAAACATGCATGCGGCGTAATTACTCGTCTACCTCACTACCCATTTGTTTTATTTTATATAGAAAAAATCCCAAACAGACACTCAATTTTTCAATTTTGACAAAAAAAACTGAACTTTATTTTTTATCAAATAAATATTAAAATTTTTAAATAAACTTAAAAAATAGATGAACTTTTTAAATAATTATTATTACATAAACAAAATTCCAACAAAAGTGGTTGGGAGTTTTCCCTTTTGCCTTCCAGTTATAGAATTTTTATGCCTTCCCTCTGTTTGTCACTATCAAAACTAAAATAAAAATAAATATTATATATATATATATGTAAATGTATACATATACACTGAATTTTCAGCGCCTTCTTTGAACCGATTCATTACGGATCTAACGTACCAATCATTATATATATATATATATAGAAGCATATCATTCATAAACATATAGAAATTGAGCGAAAATTAAACTCTCACATTTATAAAAAGGAGGATATAATATTATATTACATAATAATACCGCACAATGTAAGGACAACAGTTGTGAATAAATGGAAGCTTTAGAGGTAACACTTCTAACTCTTTCGAGATCTCTCACGTACTATCCGGAAGCCTCTTCCTGACCCAGAAGGTTTGCCTGAAGACACGCGGTCAGCTATCTATGCCATGGCAAACCTTCTGGGTGAGGAGGCGGCTTCTCAAGTCCGGGGGGAGAGTTTCTGGCCAGTTTCCATGGTCCCTGCTGTTACTGTCTGTACATATGTTTTTGCAGTTTCAAGATATGGGAGCTGAGTTTATTAGGGTTTAGGAATTAGAGTTAGGGTTCCCTTTTTCATACTCTTTGATTGCATATTATCTGCAAGTTATAACCAAAATCATGTGAGATGAATTCGACCCTTTTGTGAAATCAAAGCAAAATTGGTGAAAAAGTTAAATGCTTCATCATTATACCAAGTTAAGCCAGAGATCAAACCAATATTTGACTATTGAGAGAGCGTATGAACACATTTACTTCTTCCATGGCTTTGACATCCTGTTTGAAAGATCTCAACATGCAGAGGCCAATGCCTTCAGTGGTTCCATGGGCATGGACTCAATCTGTCATTTTTATTGCCGGTGGCTCGATAAAGAGTGAACCGAGGCTGAGCTTCTTCTACAGGTACTTGAGCATTCCACGACCCTCCGCGCTCACTTTCGTCGCCTGTAGCCTCTTCTTCTTCGATCCTTTCAGCTGTTGCAGCTTCTTGTTCATCTGAAAGGAAAAGACCATCTTTAAGGCTCATGGAAAAGTTCAAAAGTCTCAACATGGTAAATCCATTTGAAGGAAAGAAAAAAGGAACAAACTTTAGGACGGATTCTGTTGATACACACAGACCACGAGCTTCACATCACAATCCGGCTCATGGGTTTTTAATATTTTCGTGGTTACGAGTGCATATTGGAGCAGGGTAGCAAGAAACTTTTAGAAGAATCACATTCTACTCGGTTCCAGATCAGAAGCCAGGGCATGGTTTACAATAAGTTTTAAGGTCTCCATATTAAATGAATGAATAGACAGTGTTTATCCTCGATTAGACATGGATATTGGCAGAAGGGATAGATATATCTACCTTCAGCCGGCGCTGGTCCTGAGCAACCTGTTTTGCCCGGGCTCTGATTTCATCCGGGTCAATCTTGGATTGAGGACGTATCAAAAAGTCCAAAGGTGTAGCTTCTGGCCTTATAGTGACTTGCCTGGATGATGAACTCTGCCCTGACGTCAGACCAGATTTCCGACCCCTGCATGTCATCGCATGGGAAATGTAGCATCCCGGAAATAAGATCATAAAGCAGCCATCGCTACAAATATCCAAATTTAGAAATTTCCCCATACCGAATATCCAAGTCAAAGTCACCGTCTCTGGATTCCACCGCTGAGGCTTTGTTGCCAGGTCTATATATTATGAACCCCCAGAGAACAAGCAGAGAAGCAATCAATTAGTATATGCATGGTCCATATTAATCAGTCAGAAGGAAAAACCAAAAGTGCAGAAGTTACTTCTTCACTGAAGGCCTCCTGTAGGGAACCCGATCTTCATCAACGTTTCTCATGTCCTCAAACCTCGTACTCTTGTTAAAAATTGGACGAGACTGCAACATTATTAACCATACGACAAGTAAGAAAATTGTGGATGTGATCTTGGTTGTAAAAAGCGCGAGGCGCACTGAGGCGGTAAAGGGTCCTAAAATACGAGGCGTGAAGCGCGAGGCGAGGCGTGAAGCGCGAGGCGTATTATTAAATAAAAGAATGTATAGTTAACAATATAACTGTGATCCAATTGAGAAAATTTATATTACTGATCAAATCATTGGAATATCACTGCGGAAATACAGCTAACGTCGAACATAGAGTAATGGAAAGCTGTCTTACCCATTTATCAACCAAATCCTTTGCAAGTCTTCTGTTTGATGTAGTTTCCTCGTCAGACTTCGATAAGAACATAATGACCTGCCAAAGATAAAGAGCAAAGATAAGCTATCTTCTGTTTGTTTCATATACATATACATATACATACACACACATATATATATATGGGAATCCAACCTTTCCAAGTCCACTCTTTTTCAATTGCTCTCTTCTGTCATACTGATCCAAGTCGATAGGAAACTGCATAACGAGATCATGATTTCAGAATTTATATCACAGTAACAGGGAAATCTGATCAACCCAATGCAAGTGAAAAGCTCTAAAAAAGGAAAGAGGAAGGTACATACATCGGTGAGAATATTCAGAATAGCTGCACGGATGTTTGTGTTTGGTAAGCTTCCATCCGGAAGTGGCTCGAGCCAATTCTTCAACAGAGTTAGAACCCCATGATCCAGGAATTCTGACTGAAGCTGCTTCCTGGATAAAGAGAAATGTATACACCTTTAAGAAAGATAGCTGCTACAAGATACGGTCATTAGATAATAAAAGGTAGCGCAGCAACTTACTTAGAGAGAACCTCTGTAAGAAGTGGAAGCTTCTTAAGTTTGTTAACGGCGGGCTTCCCCTGTCTATTAAGATCTGCATCTTCTTCGGCTGTGACCTCGAGCTCCGCCATCACATTCTCAACCAAAAGCGCAATTTCAGCAGG